CTTTACTCAGGGGTGGCATAGTTATAAGGTTCTTTTTAATAATATTTTTATCAAGTTTAAAAGTTATTTGACATTTTATTTGACATAAATATACATTACATAATATTAATTATAAATTTTATTTTATAATACTTATGTAATTAAATTTATTATTTTTTACTTCCTGTGTTATGTATTCTATCTCAAATAAGGCATATTAGGCATATATTTATAGAATATCATATACGGAAAGAATATAATATTATATATTTGTCAGACAATAAGAACGGTTACCATGGCAACGTATTCTATTTTATTCTTTCGCCGGCTTAATTCTATATATTTATGCGTTTGTCACTTTTTAGTGTCGCATTTCTGTTTCATTGAGTTTCCAATCACAACGATTCTAAAGAAGTTTAACTTCAAATACTTGCTTGACTGTTTTTTAAATAAAACTATCTTTTCGAATTTATGAGGTTTTCAAAAAATCGGGAACCAAAAACATTCATAAATCCGCGAAAATATAGCTCCATTCAAATGTCATATACGCATTAATCTAAAAAAGTATTATAAGTAAATAAGCTTTGCTTTTCAATACACACTTCAAAATAATAGCATTTAACTATAAAATTTTTAGATTTCACCCCATTATTTTTTGCCTTCCCTTTCTATTAAGACTTTACAGATGCCATATTTAAAATACCAGTTTTACGTCGATAAAAATAGTCTATATGTTAATCCAAGATAAAATCTATCTCATTTTTGAATTTCACTCAAGTCCATTGAGGCATTATAACGTAAAGAAGCAAATTTACTTACACACTCACGTATAAAACTTAAGCAGACGAGTAATACTTATGTTATTACAGTGTCGTATATTACCATGCCATAACTACAACTAACAAAAATAGTGATAGATATATCACATTTTAGCAAAATCTATGTATGTATGTATATATATATATATATATGCATACATTCAAAAAAACATTACTATTCTTTTGGAACAGTCGGATAAAACGTCTAAATACCATTTGCAATTTGCCTCTCATAATTTCTAAGTCAATTACAAAATGTACTAAGATGTTAATGATTTAATCTAAGCTTTGGAAAAGCTTTCTTAGCTTTAAGCTCTAACCGACGTATAATCCTCTCAATACTTTGGATGAACAATACTAATAAGAAAATAAGTTTGTCATCCAGATGATTCATTTTTCATAACATTAAATATTCATGAACAGTAACTAATTATTTCAAAGGAAGCTTAAATGGCTTTACCTTTAATTACATACATTCTATTTATCTATACATATAATAAAAGTGTAACTGATCGCTGTTTGTACATGCATATTTAGGAAAAACTATCATTGGGGGTCTTTTTGTATGCAATATAGATTATGTTTACTATACTTTGAAACAATATGAAATTAAAGAAAGATGATTTAAAAATTTCATTAATTTTAGAAGTTCTCGAGGTTGAAGATTTCTTTTTCAAATTTTTATTCTAAAATTAATAAAGTTGTATGGATTTAATAAAGATCTTTATGGCTAAGTTATAAAAATATTACGAACGAGCCCGTAACATGAGTGAATTCGATAAATATGAAAGGAGATGAAAATGGTTTGAAAAAGAGCTTACTCCTGTGTGCTTCGTAAGTTTTTTTTTATTAATGAGTGCACTCTTAGATAACGAATGACTTTATTAAAAACTAGGTTGATTCCCCATACAAACTTTCATCCCCATTTTCACCCTCTTAAGGGATGATTTCCGGAATAAAAACTATCCTATGTCTTTTTCAGGGTCTGAAACTATCTTCTTACCAAATTTCATCTAAATCGGTCAAGTAGTTTCGGAGTTTATACGATACAAACAATCAAACATAAAATATTTTCTCTTAATAATATTATAGTATAGATTATAACAAGTTACAACAATAATATCATAGATGGCGTTACTAGTATTTTGTTACTAAAATATAACACATTTAACCTACTCGATTGCTTTTATGGTGACGCACATTTATATGGAATTGAAAGCACTCCATTTAATGATAAAATAATACAACACCACTTTCTGTTTTGACGGTAAGGGCGAATTGCACTAAATTCTTATAAATCTGTTGTTAATTAATAAATATGCTTACGGCTACTACGTGATCTGTGGATACGAGTTACGAATTTGGCAAAGTAATCTGTGTCTAACTGGCATGCAGTAAATAATATAGAATTAATAATGAAGAGAATAGTTTTATTTGTTATTATTACGAATTCCTCCATGTCCATGTCCTCCTAAATTTGCTAATTCTCTTAATTAGCAAATTGAGCAACACTTATTAACCTTAACAATCCTTTAAAACTTTTATAATCTAATAATCAATAAAATCTAACAAAGTGTGGTGAAATTGACCTTTATTCGTTGAACTCAAACGCGCAGTCATTTGTAGAAAATTGTGAAAACCCGCACTCAATAACTGATTCAAAATCGATTTTGTTTTTCATTTGAATTCACTTTTGATTCGAACTTGATCTGGATGTCTTATTCCGGACCAAATCAAAGCAAAAGCGAGATTGACTTACGTTCGAGTGCTATCAGCGCCGGTTCCTGTACCTGGCTTCTTACCTCAGAAGCATCTATGGTTTAATTCTTTTTTATTTTTATATTCTGTTCTTTTAAACCATTCCGTATTGGTTTATTTACGACTAGCGGCCCAACCTAGCTTCGCTCGCGTTCATCCCTAAGTAAGTTTTAAGTACATATAAATAGTTATTAGCCAGCGTTAGCCATACAATTTTTTTCCGTGAATTTTTCTAATGTTTTAAAGTTATTCTGCTATTTGGGGCAGAGACAAAACCAACAAGCAAAATCAAAACATAAAGATCATAGAAATCGGTCCAGCCGTTCTAGAGTTATAAATGGTGAAATTAACCCATATATATATATATATATATATATATATATATATATATATATATATATATATATATATATATAATACTTATACTTAATTAAATATTATCATTTAACATTTAACTGGCGAATAAAGTATGATCATAAACCATTGATATACAAAACCTCAAGACACAAGTCTTAAGAGTGCCCTCAAAAAGAAGTGCAAGTTTCAAATTGAATAGCGCGTTTTTAAAATCTCTTTTGTTCATTGGTTTTCAGATGACAAAATTAAAGCTCACGAAAAAAGTACTTGTGGTATGCGTAAGTTCGAATTTATGTTTAGACAATTGGAACTTTCGATTTTTGGATTTTATTCTTTGGTTTGATATAACGTCACATGTCGACGCCACATTTTGATGGATGATTTATAGTCCAATCGGAATTCGGTTTGGGAACAAAATATTGCAAACCTGAAGTTTTATGATTTTAAAATGTTAGCAGGTATATAAGGAATAGAAATTCGTAAAATGCCCCACATGCCCAGCTACCCCCGAGAAATTTGGGGGATCCAAAGCATTGAAAAATAGTATTTTCAATTTCCGGCTTACTGTGACGTTCTATCGAAAAATGGAGAAGTTGATAATTGTTACTTTATACACTACATTTTTTTCAATTATCATTGAAGAAGTGTACTTTATTGACCAAATTTTTATGAACTGATTACACCAATGTATTTTCCAGGAAAAAGCGAAAAAAATCTATTCGTTATTTTTCAATTTGAAGCTTATTATTTATACTATGTCGCCGTAAAAATTCCAACTTTTCAATTTGATGAGCCTTGAAAAAATAATAAAAGTTGGAATTCACATCATATGCTATATATCCATCATATATCATGATTTCAACAAAATATATTAACAGCAACAACATTATGAAATAGAATATTAATAAAATTATAACACTAAAAATAAAAAATTATATCACGTGTAAATAAACAGGATTTGAAGAAGCGATTGTAAAGAAGTTATAATATAGGGTTATCAATTTTCATTGTAGAGTAAGTGAGATCAAATGTGGATCGTTTGTATAATAGAGGTATATTGTTATGTATATTGTTGAAACTTGAAACGATATATAAATCGTATGTAACCATAGTAATAATGGGTATTCATCCGATTGTTTAACTTGTTGCCCTAACTCATATCTTACATGTCAACATGGAGAAATCATGATGACACGTTTGGCTCAGTTTGTAGTGACCCTACTTGCTGTGCCAGTGATCGCGGGTTTGAGTCCCGCTGGGCATTCATTAAACGAGCAATTATTGTATATTAATTAATTTATTTATACCGGCGATCTCGGAAACGGCTCTAACGATCTCGCAGAAATTTGGTATGTGGCGGTTTTCGGGGGCCAAAAATCGATCTAGATTAGTCTTATGTCTGGGAAAACGCGTATTTTTTAAGTTTTTGTGAATTAGTGCATTATTCCACGCAAAGTATATAAAAATAATTTAGCACACTCGGGTATAAACTTCGTATTCAAGTTTAAAAAAAAAAAGAAAATTGTACTTCCGGGCCAAAAACTCCGAACGAAGCTCGGTCGCCCAGGGGCCAGGTACTATATTTACATGATGTGTAGTGTATCAACTATCTGGTATAAATAACACAAGGCTCATAGCTTACAATGGAACTAGACGGTGCTGTGTGTTAATGTCTCAACATACATATTTATGATTCCATTTAATAATAGCTGTAAAGTATTAGTATTATTATAATCTTTCAAACTTTATTTTTAACAAATTTAAATTCAAAAAATAAATCGTTGGATTTTTGCTTTTGACACTCGGCACCCCTACTGAAAATATACTCAGCGACTCGCCGAATGACCATGCTTGAAGATAATGAAATAAATTTTAATCGTCCGTTTCCAAGATAGCGTCCTTTGAAATAGGATTAAGAGAATATAAATGAGAGTGGGCTCACCAAGTATAAGTGTTTGTGAGAAAAGGGATACTTAGTTTATTTTCACAGCATTTAATTTAATCTCTATTAGACCTTCGTTAGGGCAAAGCCTTACATGGTCAAACTAAATTACGTAGAAAATTTGGTAAAATATGTCCAAAATCTTACCTTTTATCAAATTCGTGGAGATCTTCAGATGTGAACTGGCTGGTCACATCTAGAAGTTGCTGTATATGATCGCTGCATACTCTACTAGTCCTCCTGCCATCTTCTCCATCCCTCACCAGGATTGTGGAGCAGCCTCCATAATCTAAGGATAGCGAGGGTTGCTGCACCACAATTGTGGTCCTTCCGGCTGGCATTGACGATGCTGAATCTAAAGGGTTTGCAGTGACGTGCACTTGGGCAGCTAGAAAAGGAAAGAACATGTTATATTACTATTCAATAATAATTAAATATTATGGCTTGGAGTAACACTTATATACTCGTAAGTGTTAATACAAGTAAAATTCTATTTATGTTATAAATTTCGTTCAAATCTGTCCAGCCGTTTTAAATGTCAAGAGATACAACAAAAAATATACTAAAAATTTTTGGTTTTTACTTTTATCCATAATTATTACTATCTTCATATATAAATCTTAATTAAAAGAATATAAACAGGAAAATTGTGATTTTTATTGCTTGATTTTTATGTTTATAAAAATGCTCGTTTAATTATAGTCGTTTTAGCATTGTTAGCGAACTGTGAAGTGGAATATTTTGTGTTTTTTATAGGACTTTATCTTTTTACTAGATTAAGTGAGGCTTGAGTACGAAGGATTTTATGATATGAAATTATAAAGAATCTAGTGTTCGTAGTCTACTTAACTACTATTTTTTTTAACTTTGATTTTTATTTTTTTTTGAGCGGAAGTATAATTTTTTTCTAATATTAAAATAGCCGTAGTTAGTCTTTATATGTAACAGCTAGCTGCCAATGAAAGTCCCGTCAAAATCAGTCTGCCTTTTCCGAGATTAGCCGGAACTAACAGTCAGACAGACAAAAAAATTAAAAATTGTGTTTCTCTTATAAGTATCGTATATAATTTCATATGCATTTAGCAACAGACACTTCAATTTTATTTATCTGTATAGATTTTAGTCGAATTAAATACAATAAGTAAAATAGCATTTAAAAAGTATTTTATATATCTACTAGCCACTCACCGTCGCTCCACTCGGGTTCGTCCCTACTTACGTTTTCTCTTTTAGTATAGTATTACTATAGATTTCTCAGGGATGAGATATTTTCCCGCATTAAAAAGTATCCTATATGTTAACCCGGACAATTAGCTATCATCATGCCAAATTTCATCAAAATCTATCTAGTGGTATTCCCGTGATGCGGTAACAGACAGACAGACAAAAATTCTAAGAACTATAGATTCAGCCTCTATTTCGATAAGATTTTCCAAAAAATATTTAATGTACAGATTCGGCTTAATTACAATTTTATTAGTATACATTATAAAATATTTTTCATGGTATGACTATAAAAGATATGGTAGCTTCTGTTGCCGTACTGTATATATTTCATTATGTTTTTTAGCTTCCAGCGCTGATAACACATAAAATATTTTCAGGTCCATGATATGATAATTTTAAAATATACCTAATTAAGAAACTAATAGATAAACTGTCGTGAATTCCCGGTTATTCCTATAAACTGTATAACTACTTCGTTTGATGATTATAGACGAATTAGAATTTATCTCAATGTGTTGTTTTTATTCTAAAAAGGAAGTCAAGGGATTCCTCTAATACCAAAATTAGCTATAGTAATAAAATTAGCATGCATCGTTCTGAATAATAAGATACCTGTTGATTGTCTTCTAGATGCTGGTGGTGGAACAGAATGTTGATGTGTAGAAGATCGTCTCCGAGTAGTCGTGAACACCTCTGTACCTTCCAATTGTCTTCTTAATTTTGCTACTTCATCTTTATAATACTCTTGCTTATCGAATTTCTGTTTGTTCTTCATTCTTGGTTCACTCCCTCGTCTTTTCACAGTTTCAGGCTCAAAATCAAAATGCGTTTCATATTTTATTTGGTTTGCTTTTGGACTTTTAGGGGTTTCAATTTTTGGGTCGTATGGTATTTGGATAGATGTAGAAGGCCCGCCTAGACTTGTATGGCTCACTTGTGTTTTGTTGCGCGGTTTGTCAATTTTCTTGGGATCAGGGAGAGGAACATCGAACACGAACCTCGCTGGGCCAGGCCTCGGAGAGTCTATGGTATCAGTAGCTGATTGAGGAATTGCGTAAGCTGGTGGATCAAACTCACAGCTATTTTGGGCGCGATGGTAATGAGGTGGGGCTGTGCTTGGTGGGTTTTGTTCAGGTTGAGGTTCTGGTATTTGGGGTGGGTCTGCATCTATTAGGTCTGGTTCAGCGTCCATGGAGTCGTCAGTGCCGGTGACAGATGTAAGGGCAGTGGTGGCAGAGTCAGTGCTAGTGTTGATGGTTTTATCTGAAGTGGTACTGCTGCCCATGACGACGACCTGCCAACAAAGGTAATTTCCGTTGATATACTATTATATTTTTTAAATATTTCTTAGGTTTAGGTAATGATGAATATTTTAGCGATAGTTTTTCGTTTCACATAAAACTTTCTCTTAATTTATTGTCTTCGGTAAGATAACATTTACTACTAATTAAAAAACATAGCTTGGTCCATTAATAGTAGTATAGTAGTAAATTATTGTAATGGTATACAACATACGTCGTACATACGTTATATATTTTTTTATTAACGATATATGTCTCGAAATTTTTTTAGAATAAAAAGTAAAATTATATCCTTTCTAAAATGCTGAAATTTTATAGAGCAAAACAAAACAATTTGATTTGTAAAATCTAACAATAAGTTAACGGTTGTTGTGATCCAAATTCGATTTTTACATGCGACAAACATTTTAATCGACTCATGCTCGATTTCACCAATGTTACCTAAGTTTAAGGGATCCCCTAAGCATGGTTAGGGGGCTGTTAGGGGACAGTTTCTGTTTCACCGATAGGGGTCACCTAAATGTTAAAAGGCCCCTTAAATTAAGGTGCTCGAAATATGGGCTTAAAGACGATCTTAAAACGAAATTTAATTTAGGGGCTAGTTTAAGGGACTTTTAAGCTAGGGATCCGATACGTAGGTGGTAGCTTATGGGTTGTTGATGAAATCGGGCATCAGACTCATTGAGTAACTTATTTTCTATTAGGTTTCGCCTGCAACCATGCTTACGAGTGATGTCGTTAAAAACTTACCATATGGACATTGTTATACAAAATCTCAACAAACAAAATTAGCGACAGCTCAAAACTGTCCTCCAAAAGAAGCGCACAATACGAAATCGTGCGCTTTTTTCAAATATCTTTTGTTCATTGCGGATGACGAACTTAAAACGCACGATGTTTCGTTTGATAAAGTACTTTATGCGGTATGCGTAAGTTCGAATTTAAGTTTAGACATTTAGAACTTTTGATTTTTGAATTTTATTCTTTGATTTGATATAACGTCACATGCCAACGCCACTTTTTGAAGAGATATTTGTTATTAAATATGTATCATTTTTTTTATATACCAATGCATGCAGATTATAAACACGTAAATAAACAAAAATACCTCTTATTAAGAATTAAATATGGACTAATAATAGTCTTTGTCTATGTAATCAATACTTTTCAATAATAATTTTATCTCATTCTATATTAAAATATTCCGTAAAAGCTTGCCGATTTATTAAAGCAACAAATACAAGGTACAGCTTTAAGTAAGTTCCATTAAACATTTATTAAAATGTTTCACGAGGCGTACTAATTTGAATTTGCATATGAATTGAAGTGGAAAAGCGAATAACGATCAATCTGAACAAAATGTTTCACCCGAGGGAGGGACTTCTGACTGTGGACTGATCTCTATTGCTTATCATTTTTGGAATTTTAAAAGTTATCCATAATACTTTCTTAGATTTACGCGAATATTTGACATTTTACTATCTTTTCGGATTATTACTAATTAATATTTTTAAAATTGTAATAATTATAATGATAACGGCAATAATTAAATAAATATTCAATTATAAAATTAATTAAAATTATAAAAATAGTTAAAGTTATAAAATATTGTAAGGTACTTGATACAATTTTTCATTTTGTTAATTGTGGGTAGGTTGTCTGTAACAACTATACCTTGGAGACATTTAACACCTCAGTCTCTCCCGTGACCATGATTGCTGTAAAGCATTCAAAACGTCGGGAACCAAAAATCAAAATAAATCCGCGGTATAATCCGAAAAGATAGTTTTATTTAAAACGTTATCCATACTTGAAATTATAAAATACTACTAGCAGAACCCGCGGCTTCGCTCTCGCTAAAACTACAAAAAAGTCTTTAAAAAGGTAGTTTCATACAAATTTTCATCCCCTATTTTACTTCCTTATAGGATGAATTTCGAAAAATGCTAAAACACGTATTTATTGAATTTTATTGAAGAACATTAATATCAAGTTTCAAGTAATTCTGATCATAAATATAAATATTTTTTGGATTGTATTATAACGCACTCACTAACCCTCCAACTATCTCCATATTCATTTGTGTGATGAGCACGAATATTTGCACTCTAGTCATGGGTGCTTATATTTATAATATGTATGTTTTTAAAGTTATATATGTATAATGCATCAATTATCTAGTATCCATTACACAAGCCTCGTAGTTTACAATGGAACTAGATGGTGTTGTGTGTTAATGTAGTTACTAAACTCTTTCTTCACTTCGCTTATTATGTTTTATTAATAATTATTAATAGTTATAAATTAAACAATTATTAATAACGAATAATTAAATATAAAACGAAAAACAAATAAAATTCAAATATTTTTCGTATGAAATTTCGGATTTATTTAAGCACGAAGTTTTTACTAGACACCAGTTATTCACATTTCACTGGATGTCAATAGTTTTATTTCTGAGTCCTGCACAGGAATAATAATGCCAGCTCTCGAGGTAGTGCTCCATACTGCGGGTATATTTTAAATATGAAATATCTCGGTTGTTTTCAATGTTTATTCTACAAACTTAGCCAAATAGTGTGATAGTCCAGTACTGTGTGAAACTAAGTGAAACGGGCAGCTCTGGATTTACACTAAGGGCACTCGTGGCTAGTGCCCAGGGCGGCAAATTTTTAGGGGCGCCAAAATTCGGAGGGTGGGAAAAAAAATTCTTCGCGTTATCGAAAATGTTTTTTTTATTTACAAAAAATGAAGGGTAAAAAAAACATTAACTTGTGGGTACATTTTTCGAAAAATTGATATCATTTATAAATATTATTATTTATATGCATTTTTAAAAAAAATTATAATTAAAAATTTAAAATTTCGATAATAGGGCGGTATTTTTTACTGTGCCCAGGGGCGGCGCGGTTAAGGTTAAATCTGGCACTGGAAACGGGTTCAAATCTCACTCGCACCTCTGATATTTTCATGTGCTAATCATTTTTCAACATGATTACACTTGTCTTGCTTTGTTTAGTTTGAATGTGAGTAGATACATAATATATACTCTCATATCTCGAATACTAGCTTTTGAATTTTGATAAGCTATTTAAATTAATTTATCATATTTTTGTATCATTCGGCAAAAAGAGCAAGGACTTAGGGCAGACACATGAACGGTTAGTGCGGCGCTCTGTCACTGACAATGAGTGATAGAGGGAGAAACGGACAGTGCCCGAAACCTATTTTCACTTAATATGTATATAAAATCTGTACAAAAACAGTTCTAAATCTACTTTTACATTAAGTTTTATAACATAATAATTTGTATTAGAAAACCTAATATAACAGTAACTCTGTTTGACGATTTGTTGTGTTTTCACATTAAACTGCTGAATAGATTTCGATGAAATTTGGCAGGAACATAGATTGTGTTCTAGGAACAGGCATAGGCTCCCTTTTATCCCCTCGCTTGCCATACAAGCCGAACCACGGCCAAAACCTAGTGTTTTGAAATATATAAATAAATAAATAAATGTTGGGACATTAACACACAGCACCACCTAGGTAATTCCATGGTAAGCTACGAGGCTTGTGTTATGGATACCAGATAGTTGATACACTACACATGTATATAATTTTAAATACATATTATAAATATGTACAAAATAAATAAATAATCAAAAAGATTCTCAATAAAAATACAAAGTAAATGGTTTGACTACGTTCATTTAATATAATGCAGGCTGTTTACCTCGTTTAATAAAGGTGTACATTTCCGTCCAATTTTGTTACCTCACCTCGGAACAATTCCCAGCGACTCTATCCATCTATTCGAGTCGCGATGGTCCAGTTGTGTTCTGGATCTTTCTATAAAGTCATGGTTTCAAATTTGTTGTTGACTTACCCTGACTTCATCAACAAAACATCGATTTCTCTATATAAGTATACATTATACATACATATATTATAGGGTATACAATTTAACAAATTTTATTATAAATAGCAGCCTATATATTATTCCAAGGTATTGTCAAATTCAAAATATTTTATTCAGCATTAAATTATTACAATTTTTTACTGAACGTCATGAGTCTACCTGTGGACTAAACATCCAAATCCATTCACCCGTGTCAGCATGAAGAAATAATAAAAAAACGCACACGAACGAAGAAATATTTTAAAATGCAACACACACGAAGTAACATTTGTTTGTTTGTACATATGTGGGATGTAATCTCTGAAAACACTAGAGCATATCTGGAGATAAGACAACGCAGTGTTTAACACACTAGGTTTTGGTTAGCATTTTTTATATATGCACCATGTAAGCGAAGTCGCGTGAGAAGACTAGTCACATATAAGAGTCACGTTTTGCTGCAACAGCTATAATCTCTCAAAAATGACTGAATTTAAAAACCACCGTTTTACAATCATTGTAAATCACACCGTTGACATTTCTCGTTTTCTTCCAAATCTATACTTACACGTAACAAACTTCTTAGTCGAATCCGTACATTAATACTTTTTAGAAAATCCTATTGAAATAGTCATTATTATCGATACAGAGGCCGAATATATAGTTTTTAGAATTTTTATCTGTCTATGTGGGAACGCATCACGAGAAAACCATTTGACAGATTTTGATGAAATTTTGTATGATGACAGCTGGTTGTCCGGGTCAACATATAAGATACATTTTACTGCGGGAAAATATCTCATCTCTGAGAAAACTATACTAAGCATTAAATAACGTATAATTCTGTGCGTGTGTCTATGCATCTGTATTAACCATGACTTTTGAGTTATCAAAATTTATTTTCCTTTGAACGTGTTTCTGTAAAGCACTCGAATTATCGGGAGAAATAAATCCAAATAAAACTGCGAGAAAATCCAGATAGTTTTATTTAAAATATGGAATGAGTTTAGTTGTATATGTATACTTGCATGTGCCTGTGTTACTTTAAACTAGAGGAAAACCAGGGCGAATTGCTAGTCTTCTATAAAATATAGTAACAGAATCAGGTCATTTTATCCCAGTATTTAAATGGCTGAACTTTTCCAGCGTCAAATTCGGTCGGAAGCGCTGACCGAGACTATAATTTTATGTCTCAACTGATTAAGGACTAGCATTTATGAACGCCCAAATTGGTAATTTATTTGGGGTTTGTGGATATTAATTACGTTTTACAATTATTCTGACCGATTTCATAAAAGATGGAAGGTATTCATTTTGGATATCTCCTTTTTTGGATAAGATCTATAATATTAAAATTGGTAGGAGTGGGTTCAATTCCGAGTCTCGCACCTATGAAATTTTCTTTTGCTAACCGTTTCCAATATGAATTACTAATATGGCATAAAAATTGCCAATACCGCAAAGAAAAACATTATGAAGAAACCTGCACGCCTAAGAAGGCTAAATTAGTTTACAAGAGCCATGTGAACTTGGCAACCAATTGGGTAGCGTGAGGGACTATGGCTTGATGAAAGATTTATGAATGAATTATTATTATGATATAATCTTTGAAGATCAAAGCTTTTTTGGTGGTCTAGGAAAAGTAAGAATTATTTCTTTGGATACCTGCCTATGGGAAATATTTTATTGTGTCATAACTTTTTGAAATAGTCATGTTTTAAGCTGACAGCTAATTATGATTCAGATAAAAATATCTTATGGTATTTATAGTAATGTATTTTTCCAAAGGTGACATATTTATTTAAAACTAGCAACTAATCTTCGCTTCGCGCGGGTTCGTCCCTAGTGATAAACAAAAACAAATCTATCCCGCGGGAACTGTACATTTTTCTGGGATAAAAAGTAACTTATGTGCTATTTTAAGACTATAATCTATCTCTGTGCTAAATTTTATCCAGATCCGTTCAGCCGTTCCGGCGTGATTGAGTAACAAACATCCAACCAAACCTTCGCATTTATAATATTGATGGGGTTGATCAGTTATTTATCGAATACCAACAAATCAATCAATCTATCCTCTTTATAATATTAGCATAGACAAGAGTGATTTTAAAGTAATAAATATATACTTTAAATTATACTTACTATCATTTTTTAAAGTTTCTTTATACAAGAGTATTGGTTTATCCTTTGATCAAAATGCCAAAATGTCAGACTAAAGACCAATCCATTGATTGATCTGACATTTTAATATAAGAAATAATCTTAGACAATACAGGCCACAGAGGTACATGAACTTTTATTAAAATTTGTAATAGCTTTCATAGTTAATTATTCTTGTGCATTATTATAAGTAGACTTAAAATGTAGTTAGAATCAAGCGAGGCAAAGGTGGACGGGTCGGTCTATTAAAAAATTAACAGTTAATAAAAACTATAATCTATCGCAGTATTTAATTGGGCATCAATCAACAGTTTTGTTTATACGGATAGGTAAATTCTATTCATACCTGTTTTCAAATTTTCAATAATATTTATGGTCGAATTTCGATTACCGAACGAAAATTAATGTATATAAATGTATTTACTATGTTGATATATGTATATATAGATTTACTTCAAAATAATTAAGCTTCAGACTGCAAAGACGGCTGTTAATGACAAGTGCTCGTGATAAATTGTAATTGCAATTATGCTGGAATGATTAATCAATTATTTACATGTGGTTTTATAAGAATAGAGATCAATTGTTTGGGACTTTAGATTCGAGACAATGGTTTGTAGGTTCAAATCCAGTTAAGAATCGATATTTACTAGGTAGAATGCATTGGATTTTTAGAGTCTTATTTGTACGGCTGTAGCTCCTCATGTTCTGGTTTAGAGTGTTAAGAAAACCTTGTTAGTAGCCCAGAGAAATGTCTGTATCAACTATACCTTCGAGACATGTAACACCTCAGTCTCTCCCATGACCATGAATGCTGTAAAGCATTCGAAACGTCGGGAAAAAAAATCAAAATAAATCCGCAAAATAATCCGAAAATATAGTTTTATTTAAAATGTCAAATATTCGCGTAAATCTAAGAAAGTATTATGTGACCAAGTATGGCTTCCGATGGAGATAAAGATTTTAATGCCTATAAATATACATAATTTTTTTATGGAAAATATTATTGAAATAGGCATTATTATCGATACAGAGGCAGAACATATAGTTTT